ATTATTTTTGTATTTGTTTTCCCTTAATAGTAACAAACATTTTGTAATAAAATTGTTTGCTTTTTGTCAAGTTTAACATATTTTTTGTCATTGCTTGCCTCACGCAAATGGAATAAACAAAGCAGTTCAACTGCTTTCTCCCATTTGAAAAAACAGGTTTTCAACATAGAAAATAATCCTTTGTTTTACAAAATGTATTAAATAAACTTTATAATTTCTAATTTTTTTAAAATTCTTTTAAAAAAAAAATCATAATTGATATTTTAAATGAATTTTAAGCAGCAAACATTCACTTTTGTAAACAAAAGTTAAAAATGAGATTATCGATTTTCTGATTAAAAAAATTGAAGATTTTTAACGAAAATTTTGTGGTCTTTTAGGTTTATGAAAAAAAACGTAAAAAATATTCAAAAAAACACTCTTGAGAATAACATTAACAGAAAACGATAAAAAAATTTATTTGATATTTTGGGAAATTTTAGGTTTTTTATTCATGAAGTATAGTTTTTTTATCGATCTCAAAAACATGCATAGATGATGAAAAAAAGACGCCAAACTTGACGAAAACAAAATTTTATCGTTTAAATGTTTGTTATTATTAAGAAGAAAGATCAAAGTATTTTGGGGGTTTTTTTTTTTTTTTTTAATCGTTCCTAGCACGTCTGAAATTTTCGTTAAAAATCTTGTTTTTTTTTGAGTCAGCAAAATTGACCATTTTTTTTCCATTATTATAAAAAATATGGAAATCTCACTTTGAAATTTTTTTAAATATCAATTATCATTTTTTTCAAAACTTATTTTAAGAAAATCTAGAAATTATGTTTTTATTTAAAATATTTTGAACCAATCTTAACTTCTTTTGTCGCCGAAAAGATGTAATTTGAAAATAAAACAAAGCAGGTCATAAACTTTCGCCTCACTTGACAGGTGATGAATGATATGATTTATGATTCCATGAGGCTAATTTGTTCTACGGAAGGAGAAAAGTGAAATAATTTACATTTAAGTGAACAAATTATTTACCTCGTTATTTTTAAGGAAAACTTTCAGTGGTCTAAATTTTTTTTTTTTTTTTATGGAACCTTATTTTATGATGCTTTATGAAAATATTGTAAAGAAATTAAAAATAAAACTGTTAAGAGTGACATTAAAATTTTTCTTAAGAAAGGTATCTAATTAATTTATAGGTACCTTTCTTATGAAATTTTATCAGAATTGTACATAAAATACTATAAATTTTATGTACATTTATTACATTTTACTGTTATTTGTATTTGCATTCATTTTATTATTAATTTTGATATTTCATTTATGGAAAAAATAACTGAGATTAATATAAAAATAAGATCATATAAATTTCATAAGATGATACTGATACTTGTAGGTACCCTTCTCAGTTGAAATTGAAAAATCAAATTAACTTCTCCACACGTGTTTCGCAAAAAAGAAAAGGCCTTAACAGCGGAGAACAATGCTTAACTCAAATAACGCAACTTTAATTATATTCTGGTTGGTCTTCCGTATTTTATAATTACAGCTTGATTATAAACACAAAATTACATTTCTTAATTACTGGGGATCTTCTGATTAGTCAAAATGATACAATTTACAACGCGTTAAAAAACAAGAAAAAAAAAAGATCTATCTTATAAGGACACTTAGGAAACCCGATGCAGCTTTTAACTAATTTTATAATATTTTAACAACTTAAATGTAAAATCTATTATAATTAATGAAATAACAAATAATTGTATTAAAATTCATTTTTTCATTGAAAAATTTTTTTTGCTTTCAGAAAATATTGTCCATATTCATAAAAAAACAACTAAAAAAATAAAAGCATTTGAAATTAAATAATATCTTTTGTTTTATTGAGTTTTGTATGTTTCAATTCAGAGCTGATTTTCAAGTAGGGATCCAATTAAAAAAAAAAAAATGATTTGCATTCCTCAAAGCCCTGTTAAAAAATAAATGTAATTTAAATTCCTCAAATTGAATTTAGTGTTTTCATAAAATTAGTTATATTAATAAAATTTAAAAAACTAAATTTCTACCATGTTTTCATAAAAAAAAAAATATTTATAATAATTTCGATCATCTGTGAAATGAAAGTTTCATTAACATCCGATAATTATTGTCATTTTTGCACGATTTTTCAAAAAAAAAAAACGTGCTAAAAATTGTCTTATTTACGAGTTCCACTGATACAGAGGGAAACACGGTTTTTTTTAATCAAAATTTAGAATGTTCTAAAAGGAAGGAAATAATTAAAAAAAAAAAACAAAAAAAACTTTGGTTTTTCCTCTTCTTAATAATAACATAAGCATTTAGACGATAAATTATTTGTTTTCATCAGATTTGACATCTTTTTAGTGATCTCCTGAAGGTATACACACACACACACACACACAGTTTTTTTTAAGTAAGGTTGTTCACTTAAAATTCGACACATTGAAGTGTCGCAAACTTCAATTCCCAAATCGCCACGGTTATACATACTTACCTTGTTTCCAATTAATTTTTTTTGTGGTAAAAAAAAAAAAAAAAACATCACTAAGTAATGTTTGTTACCACTAATTTTCCCCCAAATAACTTTCGATTTTTTTTAACACGGAGAATTCAACTTATTTACAAAGTTGCCAAAAACAGCGGATATTACCGATTTTATGGCAATTTTTACATTTTTTATAGCGAACTTTTGCACCCACCCTCCCAACAGTCACTACGGACTGCATTTCTTGCAATAGAAGAGGTAAAGCTTACTAGAAACAGTTTTGCTGTGATGTGTGCGTTCAGTAATTTATCAACCAGAATGATAAAGAAAAAGTTTAAAAATGCGTGTTGGATGTTTTTAACATTATGCACAGGGAAAAATAATCACAGGCAAAGGGGGTGCAAAAGTGTAATAGACCCAAATCTTTTTAGAAGATATTTCATTTAACAGGAGTTAATAACATAAAAGAGAAAGATCTATAGGCCAAGAGATAAATGTTCGGACAGAATAATGCAAAATTTTTTTGTGAATCACTGAAAAATCTAAGGTTATTACGAAAAAGATTTACAACTTATATTACAATTTATAACCATTATTTGGGAACCCGTTCATTTTTTTAAAGTAAGAGAAAGTTTGACTATATTCAATTTACTTACAATGTAAATTGCTGAACTTTACTTTTTGCCAGCTATTTTTATTCATATCCGAAATGAAAAGATGGAAAAGTTAAGTGAGCTTCTGTGGCGAACGGGTATGATTTATTGAAAGAAAGTAGTATGAAAGAAAACGAATTTTTACATAGCACCATCGTTTAGTTTTTTATCATGATGGAACAAGATACCGGTATCTCAACTTTATTATCGACAAACTGTTAAAGACGATGCAAAAGCTTCCTTTTAAACAGCATTCGTAGTCTCCAGTTATTTACTATATTCAAACAATAAATTGTTACATCAAATAATTTATGCCAGTTATCCTCCTCCGCCACAAAAAATAGTGTCGACACAGTTTAGCGTTGCGTGTAACAGTATGTAATTTAAGTTCACCATATTTCAAAGTTTATGCCACCAAATTGAATTAAAATTCAGGAGATCCTATATATATATATATATATATATATATATATACACAGAAAGAGGCGCATTAATTATTCTTAACTGTGGTCTTATCAGGGGAAGAAAGTTACAGTTACTACACCTGTAATGGGATACGCACGCTGTTAAAACATGTCGGCTATTTTACTGGGCATATGAAAAACACCTTCATATAATACAAGAATTAAAATAAAACTCACAAAATATATATACTGTATTAAGATTAGACATAGTTATATTGAATTGAGAAAAAAATGAAAATATACATCTGACAAAAGACAAGATGAAACAAGATTTCATGGGTCAAAATAAAAAAACGTACCTCAAAGAAACAAGGCTGGGTTAAAAAAGGAAGTAACGTTTCATACAAGCACGTGGCTTTACGAAATCTCGTACAGCTCGAGATATAGATGCATGAGAAGTGGATGATCATCGAAAATTACCGGAGTAAAACGAATAATAGCGGAAAGCAACGATCTTAACCGGAAATAGTCGACATCAGTTGTTATTGTCAGAACGAAAGACAGAAGACAGTAAAATCATGGTTTACCTGCAACCAACGATTCTTTTGTATTAATGAAACGTAAAGACATTTTATTTGATTGCTATCTTTTTATCTCACGAGTATGAAAATTATTTTAGTAGGTGTACTTTATTGTACGACGAAAAAAAAATATCAAGCAGGGGGTAACTGTGGAGGAGGTAGCTACCATCTCTAAATGTCTTGTCCCTGTCACAAAATTATAACAAATAATCATACTTCACCCACTAATTAAGGTATTAACCCTTAAGAAAGGAAATCTTTTTTTGTGGGAGGAGTGAAAACTTCTTGACTTATAAAAACAATTTTTTTACTATTATGTTTATTTGATAAATATTTTCAAGTTCTATATTTATCATGTTCTTGCATGATCTCTCCTCTAAATAGTGATTTAAAAAAAGTATTTTCTGTTAAGTGAAATATTTTATATTTAATTTCTAATCACAAACAAGCAGTATAGAGAAATAAATCCTTTATTTCTCTATGCTTTCTTTCTTTTTCTCTTATTCTCGTTTGTCGTTCTCTCTCGCATAGCTTTCCTTTATCTCTCACTTTCTTTACTCTTTCTTCCTATTTGTCTCTTTTTCGCCCTCAATAGCATTTGTATTAATTATCAACACTACATACAGACACACATGCATACAGAAATACTGCTAATGGTCCTTGTATCAAAATAACAGACATAGAGAGGAGCTTTCTATTATTATCATCATTCCTACTACTTCACAATTACGATCACAGATAATAATAATAACAACCTTAACACACCACTATTCATTCAGTGCCTGTCCGTCTTTGAGTGAGGTGGCCGGCCGCTGTACCCTACCGGGACATCGAACACCCCAAACCCAGCGTACGGGTCCACAAAAGCATGGACTTTATGTTTGACTGGGAGACGGAAGGCGATCATTTCTCTTTTGAAGACAGTGACCGTTTTGAGGAAGATTCTCTGTGTTCGTGGAACAGCGAACCGGAGAGTGTTTGCAACAACTGGAGAGGATGGAAGAGACAAAATGGAGGCCAAGCCTTCCCCGTACACCACCAGCAGCAGCAACAGCAACGAATATCGGGTAAGAATAAGAACAAATCAAGTCATCATTCATTACCATTATTCTTTTACTTCATATTTATTTATTAGTTTACTGCTCTTCTTTATCGAACCCTCTCGTTTCTTTCGCCTCTCGAAAGATGTACTCGTGTACGGTGTAGTACAATGTGTACAACACACTTGTTTTGGTTCCCTTTGCGTTTCAGTGGATGACTGAAAAATGGTGTCATCAGTTTTAGACGATCATTGTATTTTCTATGTAAATCTTCGAATAACCTATTGTTCCCGTATAAAAATAATTTGAAGTTATCACATTTTTAATAAATCAGATAATCTGTGATATAACTGTTTATTGCAGCATTTACATTTTTAAATCCATGTCGGGGTTGTAATTTTTTACGCTAAATTAGAATTCAGTCACATAAATAAATATAGAGTAGACTCTTTGACTTTTTAACGTTATTTATTTTTCATGGATTTTTTTTGACTCTTCGTTAAGTTCTACTTCCGAGTAGAAACTGAAAAGTACACTATTTTTCTTTTGTGAATTGTATACATTTTTATTTCTTAACTTTTTATTTTTTATTTTTGCCTTAACCAAAGTCTTAACTTTCTGATAAAAAAGATGAACACATTTTTTTAAAATGACTTTGTCATATTTAATTTAAAAAAAAGCTAGTATTTTAACTTGTTCATTTTTTACGGTTAAAAGATTTCCATTATGGCCAGTATAATTCGATCGAAGCCAATTGGCATTTTATTCATTGTTCTAAAAAAAAAAACGTAAATTTCTTATAACAAGCAAGCACTGAGTGTGTCTCATAATCGTTGCCTTATACCAGACTAGGTAAATTGTATGAGGAATTTAGGTCTATTTCATGAAAAATGTATATTCTGATATTTTTAGACACTTTTATTTTGCAAGGCTACAAAAAAGGCTTTGTTTGTTAAAGACCAAAAAAAAAAGTAATGTTTTTTTTTTCAGGGAGGAATTTTTTTTGTCATTGTCAAACTCTTAGTCTTACTCTTATGATTTTAATTTGTATGTTTTAAATGGAATGTTTAAGTTTACTTTTGAAATAACAAGAATATTTTTCTTGTTCTCTTTGTTTGTTTGTTTGTTTGTTTTTGTTTCAATGCACTGGTGCATAATATGTACTTTGTCCATAACTGAGGTTGAGGTAACGTTAAATGTTTTAAATTGCGCTCGTGTATCACAATATTTTTTGTTGTTTTTATTCGTAGACTGAATTTAAAATTTGAGTCTAAATTCTGACACGGAAGTGAACACCCTTCTTGACATAATTCTCTACACATGTGTGAAAATTGAAATGAGAATTTTTTTTATTTCTCGTTCAACGACTTATTATTTTTAGTTAGGGGCTCAGTATCAAATTTATGATTTATTTTCTTATTCTTTCAACAAAATTAAGATTAACTTCTAAGAAGTTGAGATTAATTTTGAAATTGTATGAAATGTCTTTTAATAACGAGAAACAAACCGTTTTTTATCATTTAGCTTCGCTTCCTTACACGATGTAAAAAAAAAAATCAAATCCTGTTTGTGAGTCTGTCAAGCATTTTTTAAAATTATTTCTATTCATTTTTAAATAGCTTTAAATCTGAATAAAAACAGGTTGTAGCAAAATACTTTGCTACAACCTGTTTTTATTCAGATAAAAAATATCGTGAAAAAAATACTTATTTGTTTGTAAGAATGGATACATAAATAAATGATTAATAAAGAAACAATAGTTTTTTTTACATAAAATAGCATTTTTGTTTTATTTTCTGTCTTTTTAAATAATTATTGCAAAATATGAGTGCGTGTTTTTTTTTTTTTAATCTTTTTTACTTCAATTAGGGATCTTTTCTCGAATAGTGACATGAAAAGAGGTACAGTAAGAAGATGGATCATGTCATTGTCATAAACAAAGTTCATCTAAGAAAGTGAAAAAGAAAGCCTTTTTTAGTTCATTAAATGAAGAAATAAATAAGAAATTCTTTTTCATTTGAATCTCTAATGTAAAAATGAATTGCAAGTTACAAATTGATGGTGAAGCTTTTTGGACTTAGCTCTTTATGTGTGTGTGTGTGTGTGTGATAAAATGGTAGAATCAGTAGAGTTCAAATTTCTGCAAACTTTGCACTATGCTCTTGTTTGTTCTCAAAAGCATGATTCTATTTCTCTATTTCCATCACCAAATATAGGTACTATCAAAGGAATACAATATCTGAGTTTTAAAAAATCTTTCTTGAATCTTTTATTTTAATTTTAATTTCAGAATATCAGATTATCCAATAAGCAAAATACTTTACTTTGCTGTATTTCAAAAGTAACTAATTTAAATTGACTGGAAGGAGTTTTTTTTATCAGAATGTAATTGTTTTTATTTAAAAAAAAAAATCTTCCAAAAATAAAAGGTACTTTTCTGAAACTGTATTTGAGGAATATTAGTTGATTTGAAGCAAATATTACTTACATTTATACTTTAAGTATAAAATATTATAGAAATGAATGCATTTAACACTGTATTTAGCTGTTTAGTGTTTATATAATAATGACAGAGGGAAGTTTATCTAATATTTTTCTATGGTGGATATATATGTAAAATATAATTGAGGAATATAATGTGGGTGCTATTTTTATATCCTTTGTAAGTACTCAGTAATCTTAAAAATTTACGAAAATGATGTTTTATTGAATTTTAGATACACTAGTTACATTATTCGGACTATTTTCCTCATGTTGCCATATTTATTATGACGTTTCGTCCGTTGTACACTCCGACTTTCTTCAGGTGGTTGGAATGTCGAACTGAACCCTTTATTTCGCTCACTGGGGTAGACTGTTCTAGTTCCACATGTCATGTCTAATCGATGTCAAAATGTAATAAATATTGCGACAAAGATGAGGACAATAATCCGAATAATGTACATAATACCTCATCTCAGAAATATAGACAGATACTGAATTTTAGATACTTTGGATTTAAATTTACTGTAATTACCTCTCTTATTTTCTGATAATGTCGTGTATAGAAGTCCGTATCTACAAAAATTGGCACATTTATACATGCACAAAAATATTCAAAATTTTTCTTTGTACTAAGCTTTTCCATTTATGATTAATAGTTTTTTCTCAATAATAATATCATTTAAAAGATGCAAAGTAATACAGAAATTTATTAAAATTGAAAAAAATTAAAACAATTCTTGTAAAAATTCATTATTAATCAAAAAAAATTTTTTCTGGAGACAAAGGTGTCCATAATATATCTTATTCATAAAACATCAATTAAAAGCTTTTTTAATTAGATAATGTCTTAGTTTTATTGCATTTTCTATTTTTCAATTCATAAAAAACATTTTTGGTAACGGGGGGGCTGTTTTACAAAAAAAAAAATAATTTAAATTCTCCAAAAGTTGATATACAGACATCTTAATTTTGATTTGCAAAGTCTTTGGGGGAAACAAAAATAAGCATAAAATTAAGTTTGATTGATTTTTGGGATTGTAAGAATAATTTTTTTTTCTTCTCTCTCCCCCTCCCTTAGTGAATATTGCATCTTTTTTTGGAGATAACAATGATCCCACTCCCCAAGATAAGTCTTCCTATTTAACCCATGGCTGGGGGGGGGATGTATTCATACCTTTCTGAAGGTTGTTTGTAAATAAGTGAATGTAACAAACTCAACTGGAATTCACCCATCACTCTCTAATTTCTCATCTCATGTGCTATTCATTACACTGCCAGGGCATCCAAATTAATTAGGATAAACCTATTAAAAAATAACTAGGCAGGTAGTGAATATTCTTATTTTACAGTCCTTTGCTCTTGATAGTGATGTAAACAATTTATTTTTTATATTGTTAGATTTTTTTCTATTTGATCAGGCTATATTGATACCTCATGCATATACTTTAACCTTGAGCTAGGGATAATTAATCTGGGTGCTTAACTCTGGTGCTTATTTCCTCTTGACACACACACTCTTTGGTGGCTAACATAGGTGAATGTTAGGATTCCATGATAAATTTGCTTTTTAAGCTTTTCAATATAATTAGTTTCTGATAAGCTATATAAGTAATTTTAATAGTAATTGATTTTGTTTCTAGCTCACTTTGTTACAGGAATGTTTTTCACTTACCATAAATTGCCATAATACAGTAGTAGATTTCATATATTTATGTAAGAATGAATGTTTTTTTTTTTTTTTTTTTGTTGTTTTTCCATTTACCTTAAAAAATGTCTCTTGCACAATATATACTTTATTTATAAATTTTATTTATATATATATATATGTATATAGCTGGGACCCTAACAAGTGCTACCACCCCAGGTCAGGGTAGACCTGGGAACACCAGCAATTAAGAGGTGGTTCCATGCTCCTCGAAACCTCCTGATCAGTGGCCTTGCTGTTGGATGTAGTTTATAATCTTACCGAGGACACCGATGTAGTTTATCGTCATACCCAGAATGGAAAAAAGCAGTTAACATTTCCAAGGCTTAATAATTTGTTAACTCTGAATACTAATATAGTTTGACTAGAAATTGATGTTTTGACTTTTTTTTTTTTTTCCACAATAAAAGCTAAATGCATCTTCAGCGTTTTTTTTTTTTTTTTTTTTTTTTCTCTCTCTCTCTCTGAGAGCATGATAGACTCTTTCGCAAATATCATCCGTACATCAACAGTTGGCCTGGAGAAATGAGAGCCATATTGCTTGTCTGAGAAAAGGCTCTGCAATAAGAGATGATGAACCAATTCAGCCTCTAGGAGTTTCCCAAGAGGTAGAAGGCTAATAGGTCGATAGTTGGAAGGGTTGGACCCTTCACCAGAGTTCTTAAAAACTGGGACAACAGATGATGACTTCTAGCTGGAGGAAAGTAAGTGTGTGTATGTATTTGTAAAGATGTGCACAGTAACATGAAAGCCAGGTTGAACTTCAATGGTACTCTGTCTGAACCAATTTCTGTTGAGAATGGTGTGAAGCAGGGCAATATACCTGTACCTACTTAAT